CCTATATCGCTCACGTGTCACTTATCAGACCAATGTTCTATAAAAAAACAAATCTATCAACACATAATCTATCAACACATAATTTACAAGAACCGTTAAAAAAATTCTGGTCGGAAACACTAAAATTCTATTCAAATCATATTACCGAAAACATCTCGCTATTATTTATATTAAGCATCTCTCTTCTACTATCAACCTCACCTTATTTAACAGTGGAAATGGAGTGTTAAAAATTTTGATTTTTTTTTAAATATAAAGGTGCTCCCTGTTTAGGATTGATTTTCCTATTTCTTCAAAATACTTTAAATTCTTTTTAACTTCCAATGTAAATATAGTGACAAAAATGTAAATTGTAAATATCTGGGGCTTTTTTTTAACAGAGGACGGAAAGTGTGAAATCCTAATACGAAGGCGCTGTGGGATAGCGAAAGATGCTTTCCAAAAGCTAAACAGATTAACAGAAATAGAAAAACGTAGAAACAAAGAATACTCAAGTGTTACGTAATGTCAGTCCGCCTATATGGCCATGAATACTTACAGATGAAGAAGACAGGCGCACGCACAAATATACACACACACGAACACACACATATGAGACACATATACACAAATAACGAAGAAAAATCAACTGTGCACCAATGAAAAGTGCATAAAGGAATTTTTAACTCAATATAAATATGACGAAAAGCGAGAAAATAAACTGTCAGTTTCTGGCATCTGCTGACGAGTGGACGGAACGTTTGCTCTACCTCTAGGCTACAAAGAACCGTTCGGTAGACAAGGTCGAATTTACTGCTTATAAACTCCAATCTTTGTAGCCTAGAGGTAAGGCACGTCAGCGTATATGACGGTTCCGTATAGGATGCAGGTTCGAATCCTGTCAAAGAACGAATATTTTCTATGAAAATTTCTCGGACATTCAGGCCGGTAAATGTTATTTAATACTGTTTATCATAAACAGAGCATTTGCTTAAATACTTGTATCTATAAAATAACAACGTTAAACATAAAAATGTCTTTAATAAATAAATTGTCGGACCTTGTCCATTTCTTAATATATATATATATATATATAAATGACAATAGGAAAACTGTAGTTATTGCAGACGGGTTTCGTCCAATGTGGACTTTCTCAAAGCAAAAAAACGAAATGAATTTAATTAAACAAAGTAAATAATAATAACGTTTTGTTTTTTGCTTTGAGAAAGTCCACATTGGACGAAACCCGCCAGCAACTACTACAGTTTTCCTATTGTCATTTATTGTCTTTTCTACAGGTTAACTCTGAGAAATTTTCATATATATATATATATATATATATATATATATATATATATATAAACAACCGTAATTTGTTTCTTCGAAGTGGTTTCCGAATATGGGTTAATTTTGTGACAACGATTCGATTGCTCTAGCCTCTTCTTCAGATATCTCTCTAAACCATTAAAGTTCATGTCTTCATGAGGATTCTGTTAAGTTTCAGGACAGCGTCTGATAAACAGACATGGCCACAATCTTTACAAATCCATTGAATCGCAGCTAAGTCAATATCTCTCTACATCAGTCTGCAAACATATTTGTGTTCGATGACTTTAATGTTCACCATACCAAATGGTTTAAACACTCTGTACTGAGCTTCCTGTTATACAAACACTTAACTTTTCAACCAGTCAATCCCTCACAGAAGTGGTCCACTTTCTAGTAACCATGACGATATGGCTTCCCTTCTTGTTCTCTTTTTAACCTCCATCACCAAGACTTGTCGTTCCACACAGTTCTGCCCTCTTGGCAACTCTGATCATGTCGTCGTGTTTGTTAACACCTCCTTCTACTCCTCTCCCTGTAAAGAAACTCCTACCAACAGAACATCTTTCTATTATCAACGAGCAGACTGGGACTCGTTTCGTGATTTTCTTTCGCGATGTCCCCTGGAAGTCTGTTTTTAATCTCACCTTTTTACATTTTTTACACTATCAATTGTCCTCCTCATTGTTCTTTTCTCTTTCTACCCATTATGAATGTTTTTATTCCTAATAACTCCACAACAAGTAATCCATTGCGTGGTAATGGCTGTAATGACTTGCTTAATGTGATACCGATTAAAAACACATACACGCACACACAAGGCATTATTAAAATTAACTTTCTTGTGAGAGACTTTTGTAACATTTTAAGAATAAAGAGCAAATAGAATAAATAATAATATATCTGTCTATATTTCTGAGATGAGGTATTGTAATTATTTACATTCCTCGGACTGTAGTCCGCATCTTCGTTGCCATATTCACGACGTCTCGGCCGTTGTGCGTTCCGGACTTCTTCAAAATCCGTCTATATTTCCGAGATAGTAACTATTTGCACTATCTATATTGTTCGGACTGTAGTCCTCATTTTCGGTGAAATATTCAAACGTTTCGGCCGTTGTACGCTCCGGCCTTCTTCAAGATCTATATTTCTGATGTCGTAACTATTTACACTATTTACATTGTTCGGACTCTAGTCCTCATCTTCTTTGCCACAATTAAAACGTTTTGGCTGTCGTAAGCTCCGGCCTTTTTCAGGGGATTAGAATTTTGAATTGGACCCTATATTTCGTCTACCGAGGTAGATTCTTTCTAGTTTCACGTGCCATGCCTCTTCCGGGTGTTTCAGTATCAGTTATTTCCCTTTAACTCAATCTCCAATTTTTTTGTTCGAAAGTTATTATACACACAACTATTTAGGTCTAGTCACTGGATTCAAGCAACACTTTTATCCACTAGGCCATGTGTCATTTTGAAACTGTAACATCCGGAAGAGGCATGGCACGTGGACGAAATAAAGGGCCCAATTCAAAATTCTAATCCCCTGAAGAAGTTCACAGTGTGCAACGGCCGAAACTAGGTGAATATGGCAACGAAGATGAGGACAACAGACAAAACAATGAATAGATATAAGAAGCATGGTTAAAACTGATCTTTTTTTCCTTTGTTAGAACAGAAATAGAGATTTTTTTAATCATTTCACCCCAAGTAAGGAGGGAATGCCACTAAGAGGCATGGGGTTAAAGAGAGTGAATGTGATAGAAAAGACTGTGTATGGGGAGGGGGATTGAGGAAAGGATAAAAAGATGAACGGGGTTCAAGACGACAAAAGATGGCGATTGACGTTGCATTTACATTTTTGAATGTTGTAGTTTTCAGGGAAGCAAGTAAACGGAAAGGTGTTCCACGGACAGGAAGTGCAAAAAAATTGGAGTAGAAGCGACGGTTACATTTAGCTTTTTCAACAGTAAGCAGGTGGGACCTAGATGCCAATCTATTAGCACGCTTAAATTCAGGGAAAAAAGCTTGTCAGAGCAGTTTGCAAGGAAAATATTTGTAGAAAGTTGGTCATAAATTGGATTTTTCCCACAAAAAATATTTGTGTTTTTTTTTCAATGAAGACATAAAATAATAATAGAAGATATTTTTTTTATAATTTTTTCAATTAAATAAGGTAAAGTCCAACTGTAAAAGCAAAAATCTCCAAATCCGGAAATAAAAAATCTTCACTCCCAGTGGAACAACGATATTTCAGATAGGCCCCTAATTCTAGACAAGAGTTGCACTATGAATTGGCGTTCACTAAAGAACTCCATGTAAATCGCCCAACAAGAGCTGATATGTTGTTAAATTTAACCAAATCAATCTAACCTAATCAATAATCATCAAAATCCCGAGGAATAATTTAAAGGAATTCGGTAGCAGATATGTCAAGCATAAAAAACTGATGCACGCATGTTTCTCGAATTTATTATCTACCGTAAAAATCACAAAGCCATTTCTAATACATCGTTACAAAACCTCGTGGAATGAGTGAACGCGAGTAGATAGCACGATGCGTCTTGGCAAACTGACTCAATAGACTGGGTACTAATCTGTGTTAACCGTGTTCCGTTTAATAATACAATAATAAATCGATGCAACTTTGGAAGCTACAAGCAGAAATTAATTTTGTTGCATACAGCAAATACCAAACGTGTTTTAACATTACGCGTTCTGAAATATCATACACTTTCAATCTTTTTTTAATCATTTCATTCCAAGCAAGGAAATAAAGCCACTAAGACGCTAGAAGTTATTGAGATGATAGGAAAATGAAAAATGGTTACTGTGGAGAATCATTTCATCCCAAACAAGGCAATAAAGCCACTAAGACGCTAGAGGGTATTGAGGACAATAAAAAAAACGAGGCTGTATCTGAGAAGAAATCTAGAAGCCGAAAGTGAATTCCATCAGCGAGAAGTGTGAGGGAAAGTATTAGAATATAAATTGCTGTTATAGCTAGAAATTTCAACAGTAAAATAATGAGACCTATCTTCCAATCAAGTACTACGCTTAAATTCGTGAAGTCGATGTATCAAAGAGGAAGGATCATCGAACAACTGCCATAAGAATGTTCACAGAAAATGTACAGGGAAGCTATGTTACGAAATTAAGAAAGGCTGGCAAGTGACTGAGGCTAAGATGCAAGATTAGAACCGATAATATTTCATATTCTTCTTTGAATTTAGTCGAGAATCTCTAAATATATAGCACAGGCAGCAGACAAGAAATGGCAGCAATATTCGATGCGCGGACGAATGGTATATTTATAAAGTGATTTTCCAAGCGTAGCTTAGATGTGACACAAGGCCGAATGTAAGGGGTACCCACTGAGAATCGAACTTACTACTCAGTAGTAATTGTTCCAGCGAGACAAGCTTGCTAACCATTACACCGCCTCGAGGTGCCCAAGGTATATTTATAAATGTGGAAAGTCGATTTTGGCGAAGAAATAATAATAATTAGATAATAATGATTTTGAATGATACAAATTTTACTAATTAACCCACAGATGAGGGGAAGAGGTTGATTCATACTTTTCTCGGGTGTATTTGTACGTAAATGAATATAACAAACTCGATTAAAATTGGAACTCGGCCCTCTGATTTTCAATTACAAGCCGTTATCGACTACACCACAAAGACATCCAAAGTTACAGTAGCTGATACTCCCAAACGGTCACCCATCAAAGTACTGACCAGGCTCAGTGTTTCTTAACTTCGGTGATTATACGAGAACTCGAAACTAAAGATTTGGTTGGTTGATTTTGTTTAACCGCATATCAACATCTATGGGATATTTAATGCCGAAATCTAAATATTTTGCACACAATTTTATGGCTTCAACTAAATATATACCATAAAATTGTACAGTTGGTAATTTCATTTTAAAATAAACTACCAGTGACCCGTTTGATCACTGACAGCTCAGGTTATAAAACGCTGAAGTTGATTTTAACATCCCATTGATATGGAAGTTAATTTTATTATGATTCAGTTAATTATTTCAATTCGTTCGTGTCATCATTGGTTTGGTTTAAAAGTTCATGTTTAACGTTTTACCGATTGGTTAGTCAGCGCAGACTCCGTTAGTTGGGCCAAGTCCACCGCATGCCAGACAGCCGCATCCCCAAAGACCTCCTGTATGGAGAGCTGGCCTCTGGAAGGAGACTCGCCGGGCGGCCACAGCTGCGGTACTACGATGTCGTGAAGCGCGACATGAAAGCTGTGGACATCAACAAAGAGTCCTGGGAGAGCCTGGCAGCCATACGATCCAAATGGAGAGGAACCCTGACCCAAGCACCTCAAATCAGGGGAGAAGAAGCTGAAGTCGCCATGGAAAGGCGTGCCCGCAGAAAGCAAAGTGACAGCTCCAACAGACCAGGGACAGAAAACATATGCGACCTTTGCAACAGAGATTGTCACTCCCGCGTCGGCCTCTCCAGTCACAGTCGTGGATACTTCACCCAAGCAGACAACTAGGATGTTACCCATGGTCAACGATGGTTGGTTAAAGCATTTAGTAGGAATAAAACTTCCGGGATAAATTTGGATTTAAATCACATTAACTTAAAAAATATTTATTTAATATGCCAAAAAAATTTAAAAATCATATTCACTTCAAAATATATTATAATATTCCCTAAGTTCTGTCAGAATTTTGAATAAAGAAAACAAGTGATCAAATGTTACATTTAATTACAGATTCAATCAAAAATGTATTTTCCATGATTATCTATGACTTCCTTCCATCTATTAACAAGCTTACTAATTCCATTACTGTAAAATTCTTTTGGCTTTGATTTGAAGAACTCACAAATGTCAGTTTTAACCTCTTCCTGTGTTACAAAAGCTGTTTCTTCTAAATGATTCTGTAAGCTACAAAACAAATGGTAGTCTGAAGGAGCAAGATCGGGAGAATAAGGTGGGTGAGGAATTTTATCCCAACCAAGTTCTTCGATCTTTTGTGACGTGATTCTTGCTGTGTCGGGTTGCGCATTGTCCTGATGAAACATCACCTCTTCGATTCACTACAGCAGGTCTTTTTTTCCTCAAAGCTTGGTTCAAACGCTCTAATTGCCGACAGTATATTTGAGTATTAATTGTTGCATTAGGTGGTAAGAATTTAAAGTTGATTATTCCTTGGCGATCCCACCAGATTGAAAGAAGAACCTTTTGCCCATGAAGTTCCCTTCTCCGCTCTGTCTGGGGTCCTTCCACTTTACCAAGCCACTGTCTACGACGCTTAACATTTCGATAAAAGATCCATTTGTCGTCGCCAGTCACAAGTCTATCCAAAAAAGGTAAAACAATTTGGTGATAATGGAGAGAAGAGCAGATGACAACTCGGGATTTGAGGTTGTTTTCAGACAATTCATGACGCAATCATTTTCCAAGTTTAGGAACTTTTCCAAGTTGATGAAGATGACGATGCAGAGTTGTATGGTTTGAACTGAGAACCACTGCTAATTCCTCAACTGATAAAGCAGGATTTTCAGCAAAGGCTGCTTCAAGAAGCTTTTCATCAAACTCAACTGGACGTCCGGTTTGAACTTCATCTTCAAGGGTGAAATCTCCACCTCTGAATTTTGCAAACATTCTTCTGCAAGTTCTTTCATTCACACATTCCTCTCCATAAACTGAGTGAATGTTTCTAGCCGCTTCGGCTGCTGAGTTTCCTTTCTTGAACTCATAAAGCATTATGTGCCTCAAATGATTCTTGGGTTCTTCCATGTTAGCAAGGTTTTAATCAAACAAAATTTAATTTTACTGTTCTCTGAAATAAAATTGGATCAGTTTAAATGCATCTAAACATAAAAAATAATGTTCAGCTCCATTAGACATTATAAAATACTCTTTAAATTTCGTTCATTTTAACAAAAAGTTAAAATTCAGACAGAACTTATGGGATGACCTGATATTTTTAAAATAATTAAAGATATTTATTTAAAGAAAACTAAAATCTAAATAATTACTCTACAAACAACTGGACGAAACAGTAAAAGGGGGATCTCTTTGTGTCTGTTTTTAACTTTAAAATATTTTAATTAAAAAAATTGTCTGTTTGAAGAAAGTTAAATTAAAAAATACTGTATAAACAACTCGTTTTTTTAAATCTTATTCACTCAAATCAGTTTAATTTAAATTAATTATGCGCCGGGCGTACCTACCAGACAAGCACGCAAGCAATTACAGATTATAATGCTGGTATTTTTACTATAGATTGGTATAGTTGGTATTGTTTTATATAAAAATGTATTTTCATACTTTCATAATGTTTTGTTTTTGTTTGAGAGACCACTATTTACCCATAGATGGGACCCTAACAAGGGCTACCTCCCCTGTTCAGGGTAGACCTGGGAAGAACAGCAATTAAGTAGATCAATCTAAGTAAACTATTATGATTTTAAGATTCGACTTAGAAACGAGCAAATGAAGTTATTTGTCTCCAATGCTAAGCAAGTTTTTAGAAAAAAAATATCACTTTCTGTGAATAAAATACCATATCCTTGTACCAACCTTATCTAATAGAAACGAAAACAAAAACTTAGGATCGAAATATCACGCTCACGGGTCTGAGAGCGTCAAGCAGCGCTGAGTGAAACTACCCATGCGCAAACAGTTACCAGAAAACTCGGCTGCTGTACTGTCGGATTGATTGAAAAAGTTTGGACGTAGGTGGGAATGGCAGTCGATCAGATCCTTAGGTTCAAACCGTTATCCGAGCCAGAGTTCCGATTTGTCTCCAGGTTATATGATTTTATTTGTTGTCGGCTCGTTGAACTCGCTAATTGCCCAATCAGCAGTTACATGTACATGCATGCGCGTCGTCTAACGTATGGAGGCCGGACAAAGGCCGCTTACTTACCATGACGCACGCATACAGTCATACACTGTCGTGTATTTCTCGACGAAAGGGTATCATTTACCCGATTCTCCAATGGGTTCGTGTCTGCGTAATGGTGCGAGTGACATGTCTCGAGTTTCCAATTTCGACATTTTTTTATGACAATGTTTTAATGCTTTACTCATTTATATATTGTGTGGTTTTGTTATAATAATTTCGATCCGAGACATCGCAAAGTCCTTACGTGACTAGCAGAACTTTAGTGTAACTTTTTTCACAGAGAAAATAAGGGGAAAATTCAGTCTACCATAGCTCTCTCTACCACTCGCTCGCTCGCTAAATCTCTCTCTCTCCCTCCCTTGGCTCTTCCTCACTCAAACGATATCGCTCTTTCTCTCTCTCCCCTGTCTTTCTCTCTGTTGCTCACTCTCTCTCTCACACACTCCTATCTCTTTCTTGATCTCCCCGAGCTCTCCCGGTCTATCTCTCTCTCCTGACTCCTGCTAGCTTTCTCTCTACTCTCTCCCTCTCTTTCCTGACTCTCTCTTTTTCGCTCTCTTCTCTCCCCCACAACTCTCTCTCTCTCACACACACACACACACGAAAGCTTTCCTTATCTCTATTTCTCGCTCTCTTTCATGTTCTCCCCACCCACTCTCTCTCACTAGCACGTTTGTCGCTCTTGCTCTCTCTCTTTCCCTCTCTCTCTCTCGCTCTTTCTCTATGTCGTTCGCTCTATCTATCTAGTATTGAACTCAGACCCTTTGGGTCCTGACTCTGGATCTAAGTAACGCCTTTATACACCTTGAGGACACATGGCATAGTGGATAATGGCGTTAGTTAGAGTTTGACTTCAATACTCGGTTGAGGCAGTGAAGAACTTGGAGAGGAGAATTAACAGGAGATAACTGATAACTGACATCTATTAGACATGGCACGTGGAACTAGAACAGTCTACCCCAGTGAGCGAAGGGTTCAGTTCGACATTTCAACCATCTGAAGAAGTCCGGAGCATACAACGGTCGAAACGTTGTAATAAATATGGCTCCAAAGATGAGTACAATAGTCCGAATAACGGAAATAGTGTACATAATACCTCATCTCAGAAATATCGACAGATACTGAAGGCCCGAAACGTTGTAATGAATATGGCTCCAAAGATGAGGACAATAGTCCGAATAATGTAAATAGTGTATATAATACCTCATCTCAGAAATATAGACAGATACTGAAGGGCCGAAACGTTGTAATAAATATGGCTCCAAAGATGAGGTCAATAGTCCGAATAATGTAAATAGTGTATATAATACCTCATCTCAGAGATATAGGCAGATACTGAAGGGCCGAAACGTTGTAATAAATATGGCGACAAAGATGAGGACAATAGTCCGAATAATGTAAATAGTGTACATAATACTTCATCTCAGAAATATAGGCAGATACTGAAGGGCCGAAACGTTGTAATATATATGGCAACAAGGACAATAGTCCGAATAATGTAAATAATGTACATAATACCTCATCTCAGAAATATAGACAGATACTGAAGGGCCGAAACGTTGTAATAAATATGGTGACAAAGATGAGGACAATAGTCCGAATAATGTAAATAATGTACATAATACCTCATCTCAGAAATATAGACAGATACTGAAGGGCCGAAACGTTGTAATAAATATGGCGACAAAGATGAGGACAATAGTCCGAATAATGTAAATAATGTACATAATACCTCATCTCAGAAATATAGACAGATACTGAAGGGCCGAAACGTTGTAATAAAATATGGCGACAAAGATGAGGACAATAGTCCGAATAATGTAAATAATGTACATAATACCTCATCTCAGAAATATAGACAGATACTGAAGGGCCGAAACGTTGTAATAAATATG